CTTCCTTCCTTCCTTCCTTCCTTCCTTCCTTCCTTCCTTCCTTCCTTCCTTCCTTCCTTTAGCTTCTCTAGAAAGAGTGCAGAGAAGAGCAACCAGGATGATGAGGGGATTGGAGGTTAAAACATACAATGGACGGTTGCAGGAACTGGGCCTGGCTAGTCTGGTGAAGAGAAGGACCAGGGGAGACAGGATAGCAGCCTTCCAATATTTGAGGGGCTTCCACAGAGAGGAGGGGGTCAAGCTATTTCCCAAAGCACCTGAAGGTTGAACAAGGAACAACGGATGGAAACTGAACAAGGAGAGATTCAAGCTGGAAATAAGGAGGACTTTTCCGACAGTGAGAACAATCAACCCATGGAACAGAAGTTGCCTTCAGAAGTTGTGGGAGCTTCATCCCTGGAAGCTTTCAAGAAGAAACTGGATTGCCACCAATGATGTAGGATCTCCTGCTTGGGTGGGGCTAGATGACCACAAGGTCCCTTCCAACTCTGTATCATCAAAGAAGATTCTTCAGTTGCCTTTTGAAAAGCCCCTTTGGATTGGGGACAACCACGACCCGGATGATTGAGTATCTCCATAGATCTTCAGATGTCAGCTTTCAAAATTCAACCTTTCTCTTTTGATTTCGTTCGTTTTCTGGGTAAACCCTTTTCTCTTTCCGAAGAACTGATCCAAGCAGAAAAAAAGCCACATTCAGCCGACGTAGCTTCTGGCTCCTGCTGTTTGCTCCATCCCAAGGCAGTTAATGGGGCATGTCAGCAGCCTTCCCAAAAAACCTGGTGCCCTCCAAATGGGTTGGACTTGATTTCCCGTAATTCCTAAACAAACATTCAATGGTTCTATTGCTATCTACGCTCTGCCAGCTTCTTACATGTGGCTTAAAGCAATAGTTCCCTACTCATTCTCCACAGTTGTTTGGGTCGGGCTTCCCTGTATGCCCCCGATTCTCGTCCTTCTTTAGACGAGTCCTTTGGCACAATCTGTGGCTTATAATTAGCATCCAGAGGTGTGCTACAAGCTGCCTTCAAACAAAAGCAGGATCCACCGGCCCACCGCTGCTTTCCGAGCCAAATAAATGGCAACGGTTTAATGTGTCTATTAAATGTTAGGTCACTCTAAGTCATTTCTTCCCTCAAAGCAAACAAGCAGGAGCAAGGACAGGTTTCGCGCGCTGAATACTAATGCTGGCTTTATACTCATCGTCACCTTCCAAAGCTCTCCAGACAGAGCAGGACCAGGTTCGAGCCAGGAGACAAGCGGTAATGATGATGGAGGAGGAGGAGGAGGANTCTATCTATCATCTATCTATCTATCTATCTATCTATCTATCTATCATCTATCTATCTATCTATCTATCTATCTATCTATCTATCTATCTATCTATATTAAAAGCTCGGGTATGCTTTTCATAGGATCGCAAGACTAGATGAGTTTCAAAATTAAAATCCCAGCTCTGTTTTTAAGCTTCAGCTGATGCACTTAGTTACATACAAGTTGTCGTAAATAATGTGACAATTCTGGCTTAAGCTGAAATCCATTAAAAATGTCATCCTCTGCTCTTCGGTTTAGGCACCAGGCTTAAATAAATGCAAATGCATTTGATGAACCAGAAGCTGGCGAAAATCCCTCCGTGAGTGGATCAACCTATTAAGATACTTTCTTGTCAATCTTATTTGTGTAACTCGAAGCTACGAATTTGCATAAGAAACTCACGGTTAGCTTTAAGGAAGTGCATCGGAGTCCTCTGAAAATCTGCGAACCACTAATAGGAGTGTTAGCAACCAGGTGGTGCTGTTAGATATTTGCATTAAACAAGTTTAATCTTCAGAGATCATTAACTAGGAACCCTTTTTAAGGGAACTTCAGGGGGGGGGGGAGAGAAAACCAAACGGTAATATCTTTAGATTTATCCCTTTCAAAACGCTACACTGCCTGCTGAGGTTACACATTGTGAATCCTTGATAAGACAGATCTGAGGAAGACGACTTTGTCTGATGTCTACCGTGAATTGTCCTTCTCAACCTAACTGCTCTTGGTGCAGAAGTCCCAAAATGTTCCTTGGAGAAAGAGGAAGGGAGAAGCCAGCTAAAGAGGGCTGGAGATTTCATTGGAAAAAATCACAAGTAGCTCTTGGCTTACAACAGTTCGGTAACTGTTTGAAGTTACAACGGCGGTGGAAAAAGTGACTTATGAATGGTTTTCACATATATATGACGCCACGGTCAGATGATCAACTGGCAACTGACTCGTATTTGTGATGGTTGCGGTGCCCAGGGGTCACGTGGTCACTTTTGCGACCTTCTGACAAGCCAAGTTGTTAAAATATACATGACTGGGAGAGAGACATGGGAACAAGGTCAGCCAATGAATAGGCACAGCAACTAAGTCAGCCGATGGGAGCTTAAACAGATCTGAGTCTGTGCAGAGAATTGAAACAGAAACTTAAGAAGAAAGCAGTCTGCTGCTCTGAGAAGTAAACTAGCAGTCTGTCTGGGCTTGTTTGCTGAAATGAATCTAACTGCTTGTGTTTGCTTGTAACTCTCCTGCCTTTTGTTTACTTGGAAGAACCAGCTGTTGGTATTGTACATTTATTCATTTATTCCTATGTATATTAAAGAAGTTAATGAATCCAGCTGCATCAGTTATCTGTGTGTGCTTTCTGAATTTGAATGCATGCAACAAACTCTGACAAAAGTCAATGGGGAGGTAACACTTAACAACCGTGTTACTAATTCAACTACTGCCATGATTCACTTAACAACCGTGATAGGAAAGATCATAAAATGGGGCAAAACTAACTAAACAAATGTCTCACTTAGAAACAGAAAATTCAGTTGTGGTCATAAGCCGAGGACTGCCTGTACAGGAGTGGTTTCCAGGTGGGAATAGATTTGTCAGGGAGGGGTTAATCTGACTTCTTCAAATTGAAATTTGGTAGGGAAACAAGGACTTGATTTCCCAAATGGTGAAATCAATTCTGTAATTCAGCGAGAAATGTTTGGAAAACGTTCACCGCAGATTTTGTTTCTGAAAACAGTTTTTATCATTGTTATTATTATCAGGCCACTAATGCAGAGGGAACTTCATGGAAACACAAAGAAAGTTAGCAGATTAGGTTATCCCAGATTTCAACTCCTAATCTCAGTCTTTCTACTCCAAAAAAAGAAACACCATGGAATAGCTCTTAAACTTTGGCTCATTGGCCGAAAAACAAAATTGCAGGATTTTTAATTTTTTTCAAGTAATAGAAATATATCAGAAAAGGAGGTTGTTTTATTATTGGAGATTTTAAAATGATAGATACAAGAATTCATTGGCCCCCGTTAAGATTTCATGTGGCTCTAGAAATATAGTTGGGGTGTGGGGGGGGGGGGAAACAGCCAATTTCAAAGCAGGAAAAAGTAACTGAAATAGCCCTTGTCAATTCTACATTTTTTTTTCTTACTTTAAGTCAATCTGAGCCTGTGGCTGCTGAAAAGAAATTGTCAGTGAAGTATGAAAATCAGCCATTGACGAGGTCTCCAAATTGGTCAAAAACTGCAGTTCAAGGAATCAGCCTTTCAAAGGCACTTGGGCTGAAGTGTTGTCCTTGGGAAAAAACACTGGGATGGGAAACTCCTTCTACAAGACCAGAGGACGTACTGGTGAACT